TCTCTCTCTCTCTCTCTCTCTCTCTCTCTCTCTCTCTCTCTCCTCTCTCACTCTCTCTTAAAAAAAAAAAAAAAAAAAAAAGACTAGACATCCAGGTGGAGACATAATCAACAGGTGATTGGGCACTTGATCCTAGAATTCAGTGTTGCCATTCATTGATGGTTTCTTCAATAATTAAAGCCAGAAGTGAAGTCAAATTCAGGGTCTCAGTTTCCTCCTCCAAAAGATGGGGACAATATAGGATGTCTCTGGTGAATCTTGTGCCGCTCAGGGCATGAACTAAGGCTATCCTCATGGTGAAAAGAGCTAAAGTCTGTGCTCAGAAATGGAGGTCACCTCGCTTCCCTCACCAGCCTCTGGCCTCGGTTGCAGGAGGGGGGCAGCGTGGAGAGACTGGGTCGTCACCCTGCTTTTCCTGGCTCTAAGCTGGGCTTCCTCCTTGGGGACTGCTCAAGCCCAGATCTGCTGATGGAAACCAGCTGCGGGAGGCGCCGGGCTCGGCACACGCCCAGGCCCCTCCTCGGCGCCGGCAGACCCCGCTCTGCTGATGGGGGAAGCGCCTTGGCTCCCCTCCCCCCTTCCGCAGCCCGGCCCGGGCCCTGGCACGTCCGGCGCTCCTGATGCTTTCCAGATGTGGGCCGGGTTCCCTCCCCAATCTGGTCCTGCTACGCCCGGAGGGGAGGAGGAAGGGGGCCAGGGTTCGAAACCCGCTATCGAAAAGCTACTAGGGGCCTGTGTGTCCTCCCCGCCGGTCTCCCTCCTCGGTCCAGGAGGTAAAAACCGAATTTGGGTGGGCTGGCTGCGGGAGAAATGCCCTTCCACCAGCCTCCAATTCTTCCCAGGGCTCCAGCCTCCAACCGGGGAGCAGCGCTCTTCCACCGCCGGCTGGGAAAGAGCCCAAGCCCCGCCCCGACACGCCCACTCAGACCACGCCCCAGCGGCACTCCAGCCACGCCCCACTCCGCCCGTGGCCACGCCCCCAGCATGGTGCGGGTCCTGCCTCCGCCGTCCCACGTGTAGGGCGCCCTCTGGGTGTCCCTCTATCTTAATGCCCGCTCGCTCTCTTGTCTCTCCACGTCCCTCTACGTTTCGGTCCGTGTGTTTCTCTCCCGTGTCCTCTGTCTCTGTGTGCCCTAGTGTCTCCTGTCCCTGTCTCTCTCTGCAGTCTTCCCTCCTTGGTCTTAGTCCATAAATCTCTCTAAGTGTCTCTGTCTCTCCCTGCATCTCTCACCTCCCTCTTATCTTCTCTGTCCACTTTCCATCCTATCCCTCTGGCCCGTGGCTCCCTCCACCTTCCTAGGTCTCCATCTCCCTCCCACGTCTTTCTCAGGTCCCCTAATCCCGGTTCCATTTCCCGCAGGGCAAATGGGGACGCCTTGCCCTAACTGTTTCTCAGTCCTTCTGCGGCTCTTCAGAGCGAGGTGGGTGGGCGGCTCGCAGGCCTCGCGCGCCCCCGTGTGGCCCGCAGGGCTGAGCTAGTGTGAGCACCACAAGAGTGTGATGGAAAGAGCATTGAGACTGTAGTGTCCGCAGGTGTCACCGGGAGGTGTTGTGCGACGCCGGAAGATCCTGTGAGTGTGTACTCCTGAGCCATGGTGTGTGACGCCAGGAGACTGTGACTGTGTAGCAGATGAGATTATGAGTGACAAGGAGGGTTGGGTGGAACTGCATATACGAGAGACAACAAGTAGGTTCAATACCATGAGAGGAGGTCCCGTGACACGGTGAGGTTATTGGTGATACTGTGGGGGAAATTGTGTGGCAATGGGAGATCGTGTGTAACTTGGTCAGAGAGTGAGAGAGAGAGACTATTTGGGGACTGAATGTGATACTGAAAGGCCAATATGAGAGTGAGATATTGTGACACTGTACGTGAGGGAGGCAGGGGATAAGAGTGCCATGTGTCATAAGGGCAGACTGATGAGAGGGACGCCCCAAGTGCTGGCGTGAGCAGGCACAGAGTGGGTCTGGGTGCGGCAGATGGTGAGTTAAGACTGTGTATTGTTGGCCAGGGGCTGTGGGAAACTGTGACGATGACGTTGAGCTCGTGTGTGATGCTGAGAGGTTGGTCCAGAGTCGTGATTGCACATAGGAGAGTGTATGCAAGTGTGTGATGCTGGAAGAGTGCTATGTGAGGACAAGCAAGATGACATGCGACAGTGATGGCCTGCGTGACGCAGACTGTGGGGTCGTTGATTGTGAATGGCACATGACAGTGTGTGTGAAACACTGTGAGATTTGTGAGGAAGTGCGCTATACTGAGCCACCCTGCATAACCTGTATGGCATCCAAAGATGCTGTGTGTGTGCGACAGGATAGATGTGAGTCACCTATGGGAAGGGAATGTGTAAGATTGTATGTACCCCCTGGAGATTGTACAAGATGTATGTATGTGTCACTGGACAGGTGGCTGTGCTCCTGCACAATACTGTGCCACACTGTGCCAGTGCTTGTTGAGGAGGTCGCCTGAGACATTGCATGTCTGTGGAGGATGCTGAGCTGAGAGTCGTGAGCCAGCAGGAGAAGTTTAAATTGCACACGTATGTGTGTGGCATTTTGAGATATTACGTGTGACACTGATAAATTGTACATTTGACACTCTTAGAGAGTGTATTGGGTTGTGCAGTCCTGGGAGTGGTCCTTGGTGATAGAGGCTTGTGTGACAGCAGAATAAATGCAGCAGGGCACAGGGCACCTGGAGGGACTGTCTTTTTGTGTGCTTGTGAGAGAGACAGAGGAGGGGGCCACACAAAAACAGGAGCAACTGAAGCTCAGGAGGGACAAAGAAGGGGATGGACAGACCTAGTTCAGAGACAGACCTAGGGAGGTGGAGTTGGTGGCAATGCGGAGGGGGCGGGTCCTGAGGGGCTGGGCCTCAGGGGAGGGGGCGGGACTGGGCTGGGACAGGGACCCAGTCCCTGCCTCTCAGCCTCTGCCTCCACTTTGCATCCCGGCCCTGAGCAGCAACAGGTAGGAGGCTGGGTCCTGGTCTCCACAGCTGGCGAGGCCGCTGTCTGCCTGGGAGTGAATGGATGAGTGACCTCTCACCCAGCCTCCCCACAGCGCCTCTCCGCCGTCCCTCCATCCACCCCGTCTTACTCTTTCCCTGCTCCACCTCTCCCCAGTCCCTTCATTTCTCTCTATCTGGGTCCCTTTTCTTCTCCGTCCCTCTGACTCTGCCCTTTGTCCCTGTCTCCACTGTGCCTTTCTCTCTTGCGTCACTGTGTCCCCTCTCTCTTTCCACCTGTCCGTTTGCCTTCTTCTCGTCTCTCCATTCCTCCCCATCTCTCCGCCTCTCCATGTCTCTCCATTCCTCCCCATCTCTCCACCTCTCTCTCCTCATCTCCTTGTTTTCCCGTGCTGTCTTTCGTCTGTCCTGCCCTTGGCCCCTCCATTTGTCCCTCTCTCCTTCCTTTCTGCCTCCCTCTTGTCTGGTTGGGTTGGGCTCCCCAGCCCTCTCCTCTGGCTGCTAATGAGCAGAGGAGCCTTTGAGGTGGCCAGGGGTGGGGGTGGGGGCTCCCTGAGGGTGGCAAAGGGGGCAGCTGCTGCCAAAGCCCTAATGAGGCCCCCTCTGCGCTCCTCCCGCCGTGATCTTAATTTGCAGTTCTCCCTGGAGCCACCACTAATTGGCCTGGGGAGCCCCCCCCTTCCAGGCTCATGCTCTATCCCCGGGGGGTAAGGACACCTGGATCCCTAGATCCTGATCCAGCACCTGTGTCCCTGTCCTTCTGGCCCTCCCTCCACCTGCCTCCCAGCCTCCCATCTGTACGCCTCTCCCTCTTCCTTGCTTCACCCCCTTTCTTCCCGCCGGCCTCTAGATACCCCTGTCTGTGCATCCCTCCATCCTCCTCTGGTCCCTCTCCTCCAGGCCACCATCCCTTCCTCTACCTGGCTCTGGCACCCTATTCGCGCGCCCTTTTACCCACACACCTGTTACTGGGTCCCACCCCCATCACCCCCCACCTGGGAACCCAGTGGTCTCCCAGACGCACCCCACTCCTCCCTGGCATTTAACCCGTTCCCTGCTGCAGCCATGTCCAACAACATGGCCAAGATCGCCGAGGCCCGCAAGACGGTGGAACAGCTGAAGCTGGAGGTGAACATCGACCGCATGAAGGTGCCGGGTCGGGCGGGGGCTCTGGGGCTGGGGTCCGCTCGGGCCATGTTGGGGGCGGGGCCCAGAGGCACAGTGGGAGGATCCCCTTAGGAAAGAGGCGGGACTAGGGGGTGGGGCTTGGCCAAGGGGCGGGGCCTTGTTAGGAGGGGCGGGGTTTGTGGGGGCTCCGAGGGGCGGAGTCGCGAGGGCGGGGTGGCAACAACTCTACCCCGGCACCTGCAGGTGTCGCAGGCGGCGGCCGAGCTCCTGGCTTTCTGTGAGACGCACGCCAAAGATGACCCGCTGGTGACACCTGTACCCGCCGCCGAAAATCCCTTCCGCGACAAGCGCCTCTTTTGCGTCCTGCTCTAAATTCTCCGGACAGTTTACCCTCCCCTCGCCCAAGTATGAATCCAATAAACTTGGTGACCGTGGTGTTGCCTGTGCTTTCGAGGAACCCAAGACACGCGCTGAGGTTGGCGCGGCCCTGGGGACCTGCGTCCCTTCTTATTCCTTCTGAATGGGAGAAGAGTAGGGGCTGAGTGGATGCTGAGTGAGGACAACCCCACCACGCCTCGGAGAAAAGGAGCACCTCGTGTTCTACCTTCCACGGATCCCCCAAACGATCGTGCACTTATTTCATTGTCCTAACAGCCCCACAGAGCAGCTGACTGCTTGCACGATGCCCATTTTCCAAATGAGAAAACTGAGCCTAAGGAAGTCCCTTACTCACAGTCGCCAGGCTTGGAAATAATGGGGCCAGGACGACTGTGGGCTCCGGGCTCCTGGTGCCACTCCACTGGCCTTGCTCCTAGGAGCCTGGGACTCATCCCAGGAATCACTCCACCCCCCCTTTCCCCCATATTTGGTTCCCTGTCACCTGCTTACCTGTTCTGTGACCAGCCTGTGTGTGCTTGGTGATATTGAAGACATGGCTGTAACTGAGACAGCCCTGGTCCCCCTCTTCTGTACCTCAGTCAAGTGGAAGAGACAGACCTGCCCCAGACGGAGTGCAGATTGGGCAGGGCTGAGATTTAGGAACTCAGAAGTAGCACCTCGCTGAACTTGAAGGTCAGGAAGGGCTTCCTGGAGGAGGAGACACTTGGCCTGGGACATGGTGGAAATAAAACTTGGGACCTGCACAGAGAGCAGTGAGTCTAGAGGAAAGGGGAGGGGACAAGTAAGGAGTATGTTCTTCACTCAGCAATCCTGCCTCAGAGCTGGGGGAGTTGCGTGGCTGAGCCCTTGCCTAGTGTGCAGGGCCCTGACCCCAGTCCCCCAAACTGTGGGAAACAGATTAAATTCTGAGGAGAGGCGTGACTTGCAGTGGCCCTGGTTCCCACTACACACACTGGTGGCCCTCAGGACATATATAGCTTGCAGTTTCCTTTTCCTCTCTCTCTCCTCTTACCCTATGTGAGGTTTAATTACATTCTTGACTTGGTTGCCAAATTGGAAAATAGAGAGATTTCTCATAAACATCTGCATTTCCGGCTTCTATGGAATTGTGAGGTCTGCTGACTCACAGGGTGACCCAGGCTATGGGAAGGGTTTGGGCTTTCCCGCCAAAGTCCCCACCATGCCTCACTGTCCCCCAGCTAAGGAAGTCGAGGAACATTCCTCATGAAGGCTCTGCTGGGGCTTCTTGGGGTGAGATGAAAAGTGAAGGTTGGTTTTCCACTGAAACTGGAGGACAGGGCCCTGGGGGAGCCTGGGTTTGTCAATTAATTCACCTTATTGGCCTGAGGGTTTGGGTGCGCAAGCCCCGCCCCTCTCAGGCTGAGTCTGGTGCTCCTCAGCTCCCGCAGGTAGAGGCTGGACCCTGGATCTGGCTGGTGGTGGCTCAGTGTGCTCTCCTCCCAGGGGGACCTTCCGTGAGTCTGGCGAGTGCTCCATTATTCACATTGGATTAGGGTCCCCTGGGCCCCAACTCTGAGCTTCCTGTAGAATGGAGGCAGGAGAGGCTGTAATTACATCTCCCTCCTGCCCCCCACCTCTCAGCTGGCTCCAGCCTGGTTGCATCATGTCTGTGGGAGCCCCGGGGGAGAAGGGGGACCGGGAGAGAGCCAAGGATGAGCTGGGGGGTGGGAGGTGGGGGAGGAAGGATGCTGAAACGGACAGAGCCAGGATTGCGGAATTTCTCTGACACGGCACTCTTGCAGTTAGAATCCAAAATGTGGAGTTAGAATTCCAGGAGCCCAGGAATTCTGAAGGCCAGATTCCAGACTCTTCCAATGCTGTGGGGCCAGGGTCCTGGGGTTCCGCCCGCCCCTTGTCCGGCTGGGATTCTGGGTCTTTGCAGGGATTCCTTGAGACTAGACTGCTGGGATGCAGACCTTCCTGCCCTGGAATCTGGGAGCTGTGGGCATCCTTCCTCCCCGGCCTTGCTGGTCTGGGGGAATCACAGGGAAGCAAGAGGGGTGGGCTGGCTGGAGCCTGGGGACACAGGCGGGCAGGAGGTGGGCACAGGGGGGACCAGCAGATGTCCACGGGAGGGAGGGAGGTGGGAGGGAGGAGAAGCCAGAAGGTAGACGGGACGGGGCAGGCCCTCTGGTGCCCAGTGCCCAGGAGCACAGACCCAGTTAATTTTATTAGCCTTACAACTCTGCCAGCAGCACCAGCTCTGGTGGCCGCTGCTCTTTCCTGTCACCCCCAGCTGTGAGGTAAGCTCTGGGACCAGGCCCTGACTGGGGTCACAGCCAGGCCAAGAGGGAGACGTGGCCACCCGAGGTAGTACTTGCTCGGAGCAGTCCCCTCCTGTTCCCCTGGCCCGGGCTGTCTTCCCGGTGCCCCCTGCAGCTGCAGCTGCCCCCCCCCCCGCCCAGGGGCTCAGAGCAGTGCCTGTCCTGGGGAGGGGCCTGTGGGGAGAAGAGCTAAGCCGTCCCCTCACCGTCCCCTCACCGTCTCTTACTGACGTCCTTTTAAGCCCCACTTAATCCTCATAAGGGCCCCCAGAGCCGCTTGGTTCAGCCCCATTTCTCAGAATGGAGACGAGGCACCAAGTGGTGAGGTCCCCTGGCCAGTGGGGCCTGGGCGATCTGGTGGAGGACTATTCTGGAGAAAGTTGGGGTGCCCAGGGGCCTGGAGGATGGGGGCCCTACCCAGGCAAACCCAGGGCAGGCAGGGGACAGGCAGAGCCCTTGCAGCAGGGGCAGCAGCAGGGGCAGACTGCGAGGGCCCCTTTGGGACTGAGGGCAATGGCCAGAGGAACGTGGCCTCTGAGCGTGGGAGCGCAGCCTGCCCTGCAGTGTGTGCCTGACCCAGCAAAGAGAGGGCACTGTGGCTGGGTGCCATGAACAGCTGGTGGCACTTATGTGTTGAGCATGAGGTGGGGTGACTTCCTCCAGGACCAGATCCAGGGGGACAAAACCAGGGAGGCAGGAGAGGATGGGCCCGGGAAGTCCACTGGCAGGTCTGCAGCCACCTAGACGCAGTGGGGGCCAGGTGCTGGCTGAGGCGGTCACAGCTCTGTTCCTGACCTGCTGGGGCAGCTCCCTCCCAGATGGGAGGCCTGGCTGGGTCGGGCACTCAGCTGAAGGCTCTGTGTGCCTGGGGATACGCGCTCCCTGTTCCCCACTGAATGGCGCCTCCGAGCCCAGTCTAATAGGATTGCTGAGTGAGTAATAAACCAGCAGGGATTTAAGGGGTTCCTGAGAGGCAGGTGGGGTGACATGTCTCTTATCACACAATACCCCGATAAGCTCAGGGCAGCCATTAATGAACACCAGGAGGAAGTGGGCTTCTCAGGGTCACATGGCAGATGGTGAGCAGTGGAGATGACTTCAAAACCCGGTCTCCCTCCACAGCCCAGGTCTCCCCTGCCACATGCAGACACACCCTGTCAGACACAGCCATGAAGAAATGAGCGAGCAGGGTGTGGTGGTGCACGCCTGTAATCCTAGTGGCTCAGGAGGCTGAGGCAGGAGGATCACAAGTGGGAGGCCAGCCTCAGCAGCTGAGTGAGGCCCTAAGCAACTCAGTAAGACCCTGTCTCTAAATAAAAAAATAAAAAGGGCTGGGGATGTGGCTCGGTGTTTGAGCACCCCAGCTTCAATCCACAGTATCCAAAATAAAACAAAATACGAGTGAGCACCCCCCCCACACACACACACACGTGCAAACAGACTCACCATATGCTTCCAGATTGGCCTCACCCACAAGGGCACACACTATGGCAATGCACCATGGAGACACAGCCATGTCTGCAAAAATATACATGAGCTTGCACACACACATCCTCACACACACAAACACACCCAGCCCCATCCATGCACATAGCAAAGAACACCTTCATACACAGGCACACCTAGAGTCCCGTGTGGTCACAACACACGCACCACACACAACACAGAAACTGGCCCTCTCACGGAGGTACAGCCACACAAGTCCTGCAGACTCAGAGTCTCACCCATGCGCGCACACACACACACACACACACACACACACACACACGAGCACAATCACCACGCTGACACAAATGCTCACCTAGGTCACGTAGGCCCTTCAAATCCCACACAGAATCCCAGTCCAGGTCCTGCGTGCACCCACCCTCTCCTGGGTCCCCGTCTCCCTCCCCTTTGGGTGCCCTGTCCTCTTTTGTCCTTCCTCTTCTGCTTGCTGCTGCCCGGGGTCCCTTAGGGAGGCCACGTCTGTTGTTGGCTGCTGACTCACCCTCCCGGGGCAGTCCCTTGCCTGGCTCCCCTGGCCCCAGAAGCCACTTCTCCCACAGTGCTGACGGGTGGCCCTCAACCCGTGGCTCGGGCAGGAGAACCCTGTGAGCCCTGGCTGGGCCACAGCCAGGCACAGGGCAGGGCGTCCCATGTAGAGCGTGTAGGTATGTGCAGCCCCGCAGGGACCCCAGGGACCCCCAGTCCCTCCTTAGGAAGGAATTACAGCTCTGTCCCCACCCCAACCTCTGATGCAGGAGCACAGGACAGATGCTGGCCTCGCTAGAACTTGCAGCCCCTGGGACCCAGGAGGGGAGACTGAGTCCTGGAGGAGGGCAGGGGCTCGTCCCACCGCCCCCTTGGCACGGGAGCAGAGGGCACTTCTTGAATGTTTAACGACCCTGGTGGGGACAGGAAGCCGGCGGGAGGGAGAAGGCTCCGGGAACCGAGCTCCCACCTCCGGCTCACAGCTCCCCTGATGCCTGAGGCAGGACGGGCTGCCAGGCGTCATCGCTCATTAATATGATAGAACTTCCTGAGTTCCCTCTGCTGAGCCTGGGAACCGAGCTCCGAGGGGCACCGCATGGCTGGAGGCCTGCCCCACCCATGGGCACCCCCAGAGCAGGCCCATGTGTTCCCTGGGGAACCCCTGGAGTGACTGGAGCTGGGCATCCATCCTGCCGGAAGCCGGGGGTGCCAGCTGGGCATGGATGATAAGGAGATGGGGGAGGAGCAAGGGGTTGCGGTCACCAGGGCAGGGACAGAGTGCGAGGCTGCAGCTGTCCACAGTCCAGCCCCGGGTCAGGAGTACCCTCTTGGCCTTGGGTCTGAGATGACGTCAGCATCGGCTCTTTCCTTCACATGCACCTGGGGAGAGCTGCTGGCCACAGTGGACCACTGTCCTGTGAGACCGGTGTTACCATTGTACAGACGAAGAGACTGAGGCACACCAGCTTCCTGTCCTGGCTCCGGACCATCCCATGGGAAGAAGGGGGTTGAATTGGGACAAGAACCCTAGTGTGATGCGTAAGAGTCTCTGAGTTTGTGATCTCTACGCTGAGACCTGAACATCGAGGGGTGTCTGAGAAGCTCTGCCTCATGGGCTCCGTGGGGCCAGGCCATGACCACTGAGCTGACAGTTGGGACACGTGGGCTGACCACACTGGCCAGAAGGAGGTGGCACTGGGGAGGGTGGGAGATGTTGCAGGGATGTTGGAGTCCTGGATGGTCATGTGTCTGTGGCCCAAATATTATTCTTGAAGGTCAAGGTCATTGGAGCTTGGCCTGGGGCCTGGAAGTACCGTGGTGGGAAGCAGGAGGTCAGCAGGATGCCCTCTTGATGATTGGCCACGGGAGTCCCCTGGGCCTGAGCCTTTGGTGGAACACCAAATGACTCCTCCCTGGCTTTCCTGCTCGGGCTTTGAGCTGGAGAGCGGGAGCCCGGGGCCAGGCTCTGGCTGGACTCTCTCCTTCCCTGTTTCAGGAAGGAGTGAACTGTGTCCAGGGAGCAGAAATCTCAGTGGTGTCTGGAAAACACTGCATCAGGGAGGAATTTCCTGGTCATTTCTCAATTCCTGGGCCATGTCCTAACCCTGGGGCCTGAAGCCCAGAATAGATCCCAGAGGCCCCCCCCAAGACAGCCCAGGCCGTGGCCAAGCTCCCTACTCAAATGGTTGGCTACACCCCTCAGATCCTGCCCGGGTCCCCTGGTGGAGCCCAAACCGGGGTGACTGGGTGGTGTTGGGGGCCAGAGAGGGAGAGTACAGGAGAGGGAGAAGAGCAGAGGTCTAAGTGGGGAGGTGGCAGGTGGCTCTGAGAGGGGAGGGGGAGGGGGCAGGCGCAGGAGATGGGTGCACAAGGGGAAGGATGGGGTGCAGCAGGGAAGGCGGCAGGGAGCTGGGGGGGCCTCTGGAGAAGGCAGGGAGGGAGGGCGGGGCAGAGAGAGGAAATGAAGCCTGGGTGAGCAGCAGAGGAGGGAGGGCGGAGGCGGAGAGCCGCAGATCAACGCAGACTTGGAGACACGCGGGGAGGAGAGGCTGAGGCTGCTGAGGTCCAGAGGGGCTGAGGGGGCAGAAGAGGAAGGACGGAGAAGGAGAGGACCAGAATAGAGACAGACAGACAGACAGGCAGACAGACACCAGCGAAGACACAGGGAGAGAAACGCAGAAGACACAGTGGGCGCACGGAGGGCTGAAGGTCGACTGGCAGGTCCGGCTGGCCCTCGGTGGGCACCCGAGGGTCCCGGCACCTCCCACCCCTGGGAGCCCTGCAGCCAGCCGGGTCCCCTGGTGGACAGCAGCGGGCCATGGCAGATTCCTGCAGGAACCTCACCTACGTTCGGGGCTCCGTAGGACCGGCCACCAGCACCCTGATGTTTGTGGCGGGTGTGGTGGGCAACGGGTTGGCACTGGGCATCCTAGGGGCCCGGCGACAGTCACGCCCATCAGCCTTTGCTGTGTTGGTCACGGGACTGGCGGTGACAGACCTGCTGGGCACGAGCTTCCTGAGCCCAGCCGTGTTCGTGGCCTATGCTCGAAACAGCTCGCTGCTGGGGCTGGCCCAGGGGGGCCCCGCGCTCTGTGATGCCTTCGCCTTCGCCATGACCTTCTTCGGCCTGGCCTCCACGCTCATCCTCTTCGCCATGGCCGTGGAGCGCTGCCTGGCACTGAGCCACCCCTATCTGTATGCCCAGCTGGATGGGCCACGCTGTGCCCGCCTGGCGCTGCCTGCCATCTACACCTTCTGCACCCTCTTCTGCGCCCTGCCCCTGCTGGGCCTGGGTCAACACCAGCAGTACTGCCCGGGCAGCTGGTGTTTCATCCGCATGCGCTCCACAGAGCCCGGTGGCTGTGCCTTCTCACTGGCCTATGCCAGCCTTGTGGCCCTGCTGGTGACTGCCATTGTCCTGTGCAATGGCTCTGTCACCCTCAGCCTCTGCCGCATGTACCGTCAGCAGAGGCGCCACCAGGGATCCCTGGTCCCCAGCTCCCGGGCACGCGAAGACGAGGTTGACCACCTGATTCTGCTGGCCCTCATGACAGGCATCATGGCTGTGTGCTCCCTGCCTCTCACGGTGAGTCCCCAGGAGCTGAGGTGCAAGGGGAGGGATGGGGGGCAGTGCCCAGCTCTGTCCTCCAATGGCTGTACCCATTTCACAGATGGGAAAATTGAGACTCCAGTGAGGTCAAACAGAGGCATAGTCTGTGGCCAAATGGTTTCCAACTTTCTGGAGAAGTCTCTCTTCACTTACTTCTGCCCCATGTGGCTCCTCCAATGCCCGTCTCCCTGGGTCCTCTTTTCCCACACCCCCTGAGCCCCCATCGTCAAATGCACCCCCATCCTTCCCTTACCCTGAAATAACAGCAGCATTCACAATTCATGAGCACTTGCTCTCTGCCCTCCTGATGCTTAGTGGCTTAGAGATAATTCCTCAGATAACCTCCAACAAGAACTTACACACCCTTTCCACAAGCATTTGGCAGGAAAAACCAAGGTCCTGTCCTGTCACCCTTTTAACAGATGAGGGGCAGTGTCTCCTGCTCCCAGTTACACAGAGCCAAGTCTCCACCCTGGGCTCTGATCCCTGAGGCTCACGGTCTCCCCCCCCACCTCCCCCAGCCCAGGCCCCCCACTGTGTTCTCTGCCCTTGAATCTCCCACCCTTCCCTGTTTCCCACAGGGTCCCCCAAGCCTCTCCCACAAAAGCCGCACTAGGGTCGGTGACACCTGGTCATCTCACCTGTTTCTGGACCTCAGTTTCCCTTTCTGTAAAATGCAAGGGGCTGGGCTGGGGCTGACCGTGACTCAGAGGATGAGTGTGGCCAGACACTGCCGCAGCTCTGCGTGTGATCTGGGGAGCCCTAGACCTCAGGGTCCAGCTGAGAAGTCCCCCAGGCTGCCAAGGGCGAGGGGACCCTTATTCCTTGCGCCAGCCTCTCCCCCAGGCCACTGCGGGCCGTTCCCTGGGGCTTTCCCTTCCTCTGCTCCCCGGATGCTCTCGTTTCCATCTTATCTTCTTTCCTTCCCTGGCGCCCCTCCCTCACCCCTGCTGGGGAGCAAGTGGGGGCGGGGGGGGGGAGGTGGCGGACCTGGGCCCCCTGACGGCCTCCCTGCCCTCAGATCCGAGGCTTCACCCAGGCCATCGCGCCGGACAGCAGCGAGATGGGGGACCTGCTCGCCTTCCGCTTCAACGCCTTCAACCCCATCCTGGACCCCTGGGTCTTCATTCTCTTCCGCAAGACGGTCTTCCAGCGACTCCGCCTCTGGCTCTGCTGCCTGTGCTCCCGGCCCGCCCGCGGCGGCTCGCAGACCCCGCTCTCCCGGCCCGCCCCAGGGAGGGGGGACCCCCGGGTCCCCGGTGCCGCTGTCCAGGGGAAGGAGGGGAGCTGGGTGCCGCTGTCGGCCTGGGGCGAGGGGCAGGTGGCGCCCGTGCCTCCTGCGCCGCGGTCCAGCGGCAGCACCGTGGGAACGCCGTCCAAAGCCGAGGCCACGGTCGCCTGCTCCCTCTGCTGACATCGAAGCCGGCCCTGTCATCGCCTGCCCTCTCTTCCGGGGACAGGAGCCAGAAAACCGAGCTCGGGGCCGGGGCGATGCTGCGGAGGTCAGAACCTTCTGCCCCGAATCCGGGGCGGGCCAGCTGCTATTCGTCCTCCTGGAGGCCACCGCTACAGGCTCTGGGAGGAGACCCGGGGACGCAGGCGACGTTTATCCTGGAGCACAAAAAGAACGATTTTCTCAAAATAGCCAGCGGCCTAGCTGCCCGATCTGGCCCCGGCTCCCCATCCATCTCACTGTGTAAATATTTAGGAGGTGGAAGCGTTCCCAGCGGCTTCCGTGCACTCGGGTCTGCTGGGTTAGGCTCCCACTCCCAGGCTCATCCATTAAGGGGGCCCTGGCTGCCCACTCCAGTCCCCAGGGGACGGCCTGCCCTCTCCTAAGCCACTCTAAGAGCCACTCCCTCTCTGCCCCTGGGAGCCAGGGATTCTCGGAAACCTTCCCATCCCCCACCAGATTTGGGGGCCCAGAACCCCAAGGGTAGGTGGGAAGAAGGCAAGGTGGTGGAGACATTGCTGGACTTGAGCCAGGTACAGAAAGGATCTGAGGAACTCTGCGCAGCTTAGGTGGCCTGTGCCACTAGAACTCAGGGGGAGGTTGGCCCAGAGAAAGATGGAGAAGCTGGTGGCTGAAGGAGTGGGAGCTGGGGATCCCAGAAGCCTGGCGAGAATGCAGACCCAGGTCCTGCGCCTGTCCCCCATTTCTCAGCCATGAACAAACAGCTGCCACCTTACAGAGCCGGACCTCATCTGTCCGTCCTTGGAACCCTCACAAAGATCCCCTGCATTCATTCATTCAGCAAACACTCAGTTGGTGCTGCTCTGCATGGTGTAGGGGCGTAGACACGTATCTGTCCTGCCCTGGGCTCTGCCGGGGTGACTGCCAGACGTCTTCACCTTCTCATGGCCATTCCTTGGCCCCCAGAGAAGCCAGAAATCCAGGGTGCTGGGGAGTGAGCGCGAAAGGAAGTGAGTTGGCAAGTGGAGTGGGGGAGGGTGAACAGGAAGCTTCCTACCCCACCCCCACCCTGCCAACCCCTGTTCCCCTTTCTCTCTCACCCCTGGCTGAAAGAGCAAACCTGCACCTGGGGAAGGGTGCAGGGAAGCATGTCCTTCTATGAAGACAGCAGTAGCCAAGATGGAGTGAATGTCCCCTCCACACCAGACGCACCCTCTCCCTCCAGCCACCCAATAGCCTGTTAGCAGAGCCTTGCTAGAGAGGCTGCAATTGAGGCTCAGAGTGGGTAACCACCTTCTGTAGGGTTACACAGCAAGGAGAAAGTAAAGCTGGCCTGTAGAGTAGCCTGCTTGTCCACCCCCAGGGCCCAGCTTGCTGGCTGGGGCCACAGCTTCCCTTGGTTCCCTTTCAATCACAATCTGGAACTTAGTTTATAGGGTTGCTCCAAAGAAGGATTCTCTCTGAAAGCCACTGGGCACAGGGAATAGAGTATGCAGCGGGCATTACTATCATTGCCGTGGCTGCTGTCCCCAGGCAAATGTGACCTGAAGACGAAGCAGGGCTTGTGCCATGGCTCTAACATTTATTTATTTATTTATTTTTTCAGTTACTGTGCTTCAAATCACATTCGGGAAGAACAGGGAGTATGTGGGAGAAGTTAAAAAATGGACTGAGCCACCTGTAATCCCAGTGGCTCGGGAAGCTGAGGCAGGAGGATGGCAGGTTCAAAGCCAGCCTCAGCAACTTAGCAGAGGCTATAAGCACCCTAGTGGGATGCTGTCCCAATATGAAAAAAATAAAAAATAAAAATAAAAAGGGCTGGGGACGTGGCTCAGTGGTTAAGAGTCCCAAGGTTCAATCCCTGGTACCAAAGCAAAACCAAAAACCAACCAACAAAAAGTATGGATAGAGGGGACCAGTGAATGGGTCTGGGGTTTCCTCTTGGTGTGATGAAAGTTCTGGAACTAGAGAGCGGTGACCTTGCCGACAGTGTGAATGTACCACATATCACTGAACTGGTGACTGGAGGTGTGTTGCAGATGGCTGAATTTATTAACTTTTATGTTATGGGTACTGACCACAATAAAAAAAACATGTAATACTGAAGGGAAAAAATGTATTTAGCAATTTGTCCAACAGTCTTGGCCAAGTACTGGTATATTGGGTGAAATGAATGGTAAAGGATTTATTGGTAAAAACACAAAAAAATATGGCTCAGAAAATATCAGAATGGGTCTTCCTTTGTCACCAAACCTGGCCTGGCCTAAGCAGGAAGCCACCCATCACTCCCAGAGCACAGTGAAGCAGGGCTGGGGGGCAGCTGAACTCCTTTGTGTTACCCCAAAGGTGGGCTAGTCCCCTTCTGAGCAGGGCCCAGCATTTGATCGATCATTCCCATCTGGGCCCAAGGCCCCACCGTTTACTTCAGAACCCCAATTCCTGTCCCGGATGCTACACTGTGCGTCAGGCCAGCGGTTTTGATGACTTCTACCTGTCCACCCACAGCCCCTCAGCGTGAGCTGCAAAGCTCCACAGGAGCTTGCTGTTTGGAGGCCACAGCCTGACACCACCCACTGCTGAGGTTTCTCCAAAAGGCCATGACCTTTCAGACCGCCTTATCTAACTCCTTCTCCTGGAACAAGTGTTGCTTTATTTCCCCTTTTCATTTTTTGGGTACCAGAGTCCTGGGGATGAACCCACTGAGCTCCAGGCCCTTTTGCATTTTATTTCGAGGCAGGGCCTTGCTGAGTTGTCCAGGCTGCCTTCAAATTTACGACCCTCCTGCCTCAGCCTCCTCAGTTGCTAGGATTGTCGGTGTGCGCCACCACACCTGGCCAAGGAACAAATGTTTTTCCTCCATCCAATGCCCTTGCCCCTCAAGATCCACCTTCAACTTTCCCTCCTCCTTGAAGACATAGCTCCTGAGGGGGTGGGGTCAGCAAGTGACACGCCAAGTATGGTCTGTCTCTCAAGGAGATTTCATTCATTTTATTTTATTTTTTTATTTTATTTATTTTTTTTTAAAAGAGAGAGTGAGAGAGAGAGAGAATTTTAACATTTTTTTTTTTTCTTAGTTCTCGGTGGACACATCTTCGTTTGTATGTGGTGTTGAGGATTGAACCGGGGCTGCAGGCACGCTAGGCGAGCGCGCTACCGCTTGAGCCACATCCCCAGCGCCTTCATTCATTTTAAAATTTCTTTCTTGCTTGCTGTCTTCCTAGCACAAGGCCGACCCACAGAGGAGACTTAATACACACCCCAGGGTTGGACCAGGGAGTTACAGCTCTCTAGGGCCTTCTGTCATCATGGCCCCACCTGCTGGTCACATTGGGTGTGACACTTAGAAGTGGCCCCAGAACAACTGCACTAGCCACAGCCACCCTCTGGGGAGTAGGGGGGCTTGGGCCTCCCCTGGCTGGGTACCCCTGGTGGCCCCAAGTCTGGCCACCTGCTCAGGATAGGCTTGGAGCTGGCTGGAGATGCGCCCAGGCAGGCATCTCGGTGCTGTGGGCTGGAGTCGCTGCCTGGCTGCCTGCCCCACGGCCATTAGAGCTGAGTGCCACCCTTGTGTCTTTGATTAATAAAGAACAGGGAAGGGAAGTCATGATTATTTAATAACACGACCTGTCTGGGAGTCAAAGTCTTCCAAACCCCGGGGCCTGCGGGGAGAATGCTGAAAGGGCACAGTACAGGTGGGCCCGAGTGGCCAGCTGGGATTCAGGGACCCAGCCCAGTGCCTCCAGGCAGGTGCGTGTGGTGCAAGGTCTCCTGCCCAGCTCCCGGCCTCTCTTGGTAGAGCTGAGGAGTGACTTGTGTCCTGCCTCTGTGCCTGGGCTCGAGTAGGAGCAGTGTCCTTACTGGGATCCCTTGGCCTGGCTAAGAATTGAATGACAAGATGACCACCTGCTAAGGTGGGTATTTTTATGATCCTCCTTTTACAGGTTCTTTTGCAGACCGATAAACTGAGGCCCAGCGGTGTAAAGTCGCCACTCCTAGGTTACCAAGTAGGAAGTAGCCGAGGTGGGGCTGGGGATGTGGCTCAAGCAGTAGCGCGCTCTCCTGGCATGCGTGCGGCCCGGGTTCGATCCTCAGCACCACATACCAACAAAGATGTTGTGTCCGCCGAAAACTAAAAAATAAATAGTAAAATTCTCTCTCTCTCTTAAAGAAAGAAAAAAAAAAAAAAAGAAGTGGCCGAGGTGGCCCCTGAGGCTAGTGAGGAAAGAGACTGCCCCAGGGAGTGGTCAAGCTGGGACTGGAGCCCACTTCTCTGGGACCACCAAAACCTACACTCTCAACTTCTGGACAGAATTTTCCACAGGCAGCCTGGTTGCTAGCAAGGACTATCTGTCTCAGCCCAACCCCTGCTGGCTCTGTGACCTGGATGTGCCTGAAGTCAGTATTTCATTAATTTATTTTTGGTACTGGGGTTTGAACCCAGGGGACACTTACCCAGAAAGCCACATCCTCAGCTCTATTTTGTATTTTGTTTAGAGACAGGGTCTCACTGAGTTGTCTAGGCCCTTGCTAAGTTGCTGAGGCTGGCTTTGAAGTTGCAATCCTCCTGCCTTGGCCTCCCAAGCTGCTGGGATTATAGATGTATGCCACCTCACCTGGTTTTATTTTGTTTTTGGTACTGGGGATTGAGTCCAGGGGTGCTTTACAACTGAGCTATATCCCAACCTCCTTCCCCCCCCTTTTTGAGATAGGGTCTCACTAAATTACTGAGGCTGGCCTCAAATTTGTGATCCTTCTGCCTCAGCCTCTGGAGTTACAGAATTGTAGGTCTGTACCTCTAGGCCCCAAAGTCATTGTTTTTTTTTTTTTTTTTTTTTTTTTTTTTTAACTACCACTTAGCTTGAAGCTCAGCAGTTGAGAGCTTGGATCTGGTTTGAATTCCAGTTCTGCCACTTTCTACTTTATAACTTTGAGGGGTGATTTCCCTACTCTGGGCCCCAGCTTTCCAGTCAGCATGGGAGGGGGGGGCTAATGGCACCCACCCAAAGAGCTGCTCTAAAGTTTCCCTGAGGTGCTGGATGCAGAGCTTAGGAGATAGTCTCTGAAGTAGGAAGAACTAACAAATAATGGTGATGCACTTGGCCAGGACATCAGGCTGTCTCCCTACTGCCCCATCCAACCCACAGCCCACCACAGGAGGTCCCACCACACACCTGTGGGCAGGGCTGGAGGCCACAGGGCCCCTGGTTCTTACCCACTACACTCCACTGTCTACTGCATCACATCACGGACCAGGCGGCAGGAAATGGGCATGGAAACAGGGTTCTGGAAAAATGGCTGCCACGCCCAACTTCTCCACCCACTGCTGGACTCCAACAACTGGACACACTAGGAAAAGCCAGCGAGGCCTACTCCGCCATAGGAAGGCCCCTGAGGCTGGGCCCTGCCTGACGATGCCTCTGGCCTGCGGCTTCACCATCCTTTCAAGGACAGGTGAAGAGGAAACTCCCTTTCCACCAACTGTCCATTCTACTCCTGCTCAGCCGCAGGAGGGTGGGAAGCTCAAGGGTTAGAGACCACTTGTGCTCACCCTGCAGCCCAGGCCATCAGAAGGAGAAGCTGTGGGAGCATTTACTTTGGGAAGGTCCCTGAGGGCCGGATGCATCCCTTTGGCACAGCCCGGGGGGCTTGGGAGGTCTTTCTGAGTCCCTACTTACCATAGGAAGTTAGCAAGCTTTTGGAAGTTGGTGATGACCTGGAGCTTTTTGTTTCAAATCTTTGACCCCCAAGCCCACACCCTGCTATGCGCCCAGGACCGTCCTGTTCTCAACACTGCAGATCCCAGATCCCCAGTCTGCCTGATGGACATCAGTGAAGGCCATCCCCCTACCCTGCCCCGGCCCCCAGTGCCTTGTCAAGACTACTGCCATAGGGCTCTTGCCTCATCGTCTCAAGGCTCACTCAGCCTGACCGGTTTTCAGTTTCCTGATGTCTCCTGTTCCTCCTGCCGCAGGGCTTCTACAAGATGCTGTTCCCTCTGGCTGCAACACCCTTCCTCCCATTAGCTGCTGGCTCGACTTCCAGGCTTCACCTCAGTCCTGCGTGCAATCCTTGGGTGCTCTTGTGGCACCATGTACCTGCCTTGAAGCTGCCTTAGTTCCCCCTCTTGCCCGTCCCATGGGTCCATGCATGCACCCAGGTGGCCTGCGGACACCCTGCCCTTGACCACCTGGCGGCCAGGCTAGGATCCAGGCTTCGCTGCCCTGGGAACACTGGGAAGGCTCTTCAGTGGCAGGGCCAAGTCCCAGTGGGGCAGGCCCAGACCAAGACAGGAGGGAAGAGCCGGGTCAGGTAGTCACTGTATTTTATTGGAAAACATTGATATATATTTTTCTTCACAGCTTGAACTGAACACAATATTGCCCGGTTTAAAAAACAAAAACAAAAACAAAACATTCCAAAAATGTCCACAGCCTCACGCCTCCCTGCCCTTGCCCTCAGCTCTTGGCTGGTCTCCCGTTATGCCCGCCCTCCCTCCCTCGGAGGCTGGTACCAGAGGGCAGAGAAGTCTCAAAACTGGGCAGGTCCCAGGAAAAACCACCTGATCAACCTGGGGTGGGGGAGCCGGATGAAAAGAACAGAGAAAGGAAAAGAACCCAGACTGAACTGCCCACGTTGACTGACTTGTCCCAGAGGCGAGAGGCAGAAGCCGGGGTGCGGATCATGCTCTCCGCTGGGAAGTGCGGGGCAGGTGGGGGCGAGGGCAGAGGCTGAGGCAGCGCAGAGGTGAGAAGCAGCGCCAAGTCACCACAGGAGCGAGGGGCAGAGCGGGAGGTGCCGGCCGAGCAGGAGGCAGAGGCTGCCCTCGCTGCGTGCTCTGCGCAGCGGGCAGCTGGGTTGTTTTATTGCAGGTTTGTTCTTGTGAGAGCGTGGTGGGGCTCATCTGCCCTCTCCCCACCCTTCAGCTGGCCCGGCATGGTTTGGGGCAAAATGAAGATTTTTAAGGAGCATAAACGGAAAAAAAAAAAAAAAAAAAAGGATAACCAGCACATTACAGAGCGACCATCCCCACATCCATTCCTAGACGGGCCCTCAGGGCGGGTGCGCCACAGGGGGAGCGGCATGGGATGTTAGCACCAGGTATTTACAGAACAGCTCGAGATCACTGGGGGGACACGGGCACATGTGATCCGCAGAGTGGCCAAATGAACAGTCCCCTACCCAGGCCAACCCCAGAAAGCCAATCAGATGGTTTTGGAACAGCAGCCAGCAGGACCTGAGTGCTGTCCACTGTCTATCCCCTCCAAGTGGGCCCCCCGCTCGGGTATAAGCACGCCAGCTTCCAAGGCCTCCTTGCCCCTGCCCCACTCCTGGGCCACATCCAGTCAACGCCACAGTTCCTGGATCCCCCCTCAGTCCTAGAACACCTCTCCTGGCATCCCTGCCCCACAGGCTGCTGGGATTTACACACGGAGCCACAGGGCTGGTTGCATGCAATGGCAAAGGGCATGCTCTTCTGCCTGGGTGAGGGCCTCACCGCCCCCCCAGCAGGTCTGGGACAGGGCTGACAGCCACCCCAGCACCCAAAATAAGAGGACAAACAAAAGGAAACAAACGGCAACAGAGGAGAGCCACCCGGGCTGGAGGAGGAGGGCACAGGCTCCCTCAAGGGGCGTGGGTTCATCTTATGAATGCATCAGGCCTGGAAAGTGTGAATGGAACAGGGAGGGCAGAAGGAAGCCATGAGGGACATGGAGGGAGGGACCGGGAGGAGGGAGAAAGAGCAGTCATGCAGCGTGGGACAAATCTTTTGTTGCTTTATCAGATTCTCAGTCAATCAATTGGTGTTTGCTAGAACCGGGGTACGCAGGGGAGTGTTGAAGAGAGAAGAGCGCGCGCGAGAAGAGAGATCAGGAGAACGGGCATCGCCAGCTGCCCGCGGCCTTCACTTTGCAGTCATCATCTGTACAAACTCTGTGGACAGAAAGGGAGAAGTCCGGTGAGCAGGGCTGAGCCTGAGCGGCCCTCCCTGGCACAAGGTACACAGGCTGGACTGGCTCACCTTCATAATTGACCTGGCCATCTCCGTCGATGTCAGCCTCTCTGATCATCTCATCCACTTCCTCATCGGTCAGCTTCTCCCCCAGGTTCGTCATTACGTGACGCAGCTCTGCGGCACTGATGTAGCCATTCCCATCCTGGGGGTTGGGGACAAAGGCTTTCACTTGGCTTCCTTGGTAGGAGAGTGGCAGCAGGCAGAGTGAAGGGGGCTATCTGAGAGTGCAGAGCAGGTGGTGGTGGCAGGGGGCCGGTGCTGGGACCCAGGTTCCCTGGGAGTGGTGGCTTGGTAGCTCTGGTTTTGCTCTGACCACTGGAAGGCTGGAACTGGTCTCAGAACTGCCCTGGGAAGGCACTGCTCACCTTGTCAAAGACGCGGAATGCCTCTCGGATCTCCTCCTCACTGTCTGTGTCCTTCATTTTTCTGGCCATCATGGTCAGAAACTCCGGGAAGTCAATGGTCCCGTTTCCTGGAAGGCAGAGAAGAGAGGGGATTATGCCCTTGACCTTGGCCCTGGGTGATACTAGAGCCCTGATAGAGGAGCTATTGGTCCATCCATTGCCCCAAGGAAGGTTTCCTGTGGTCAACAGGGGTGACCTGGAGTGGGGCTGTCTACCCACTCCCTAGGGCCTCACCGTCTGCGTCCACCTCATTGATCATGTCTTGCAGTTCTGCTTCAGTGGGGTTCTGTCCCAGGGATCTCATCACTGTCCCCAACTCCTTGGTGGTAATAGTGCCATCTCCATCCTTGTCGAAGAGGGAGAAGGCCTCCTTGAACTCTGGGGGAAGAAAGGGAATGAGCTGTGGTCAAGAGGCTACAGGGACTCCCTCCCTTGAGGAAGGCCAAGGGAGCTGGCCCCACCTACAGAAACTGAGCCAGACTGCAAGTTCATGCCAGCCTCCGTCCTCAGGGCCAGGCCCTTGCTTCCTTCATTGGACAGTTATGGTAACTCTGCAGCAGGAGATGTCTTCAGCCATTCGAAGACCACGAGCTGACAGCTATCCTTACAGAATTTTCCATTTCTTTTTGGTCCCTGGCTTTGGCCTCACTCTCAAATGATGAAATGGACCAAAGTCATAGAGTGGATGAGAGCCAAGAGAATTCATCTGAAGTATGCTAGCCAAGGTCAACCGGAGGGGAGGGGATGGGAGGGGAGGCTGGAATGCCTTTGGCTAGCCTGAAGAGGAAATGCAGGCACTGATTCCTCCTGACAGGCACTGCTAGCCCTTCTTTGCTGTGGGTGCTGCCCACTTCCAGAGGAGGAGCTGAGCCTGTGGGGGTGGTGATGCGTGGGGGTGGTCCGCAACAGAGCATGGCTGACGGACGGTGCGTGGGGTGGAGGGGATGGGAGTTGAGGGGACCGCTGCCAAGCTAGGAGGATGAGCAGTGAGTGGTGCTGAGTGGGAAGGCCACAGCTGGGGACGCATCAGGAGTGGGGAGATGCTGTTTGCTGAGCAGGGAGGGAAGCACGTGGCTCTGCCCTCCCACTGGGCCCATTTTGGCACCTGGTGCTCTCCTACCCCAAACCCTCAGAGAACAGATGCCTGGCAGCCTATTCCCAGAGGGTGTGGGCTGGGGTGAGGTGGTGGACAGTGTGTTAATGGGGAAAGGGTAAAGAGAGGAGTGTGTGATTGTGTTGCAGGAGAGTAGAAGGTTGGACTGTGGGTGGCAGGTGGGATGGGCAGCACACCCACCGCTGGGCAGCTGTGACCTCCAGCTTCTGGGCCCTGGGGAAATGATCCAAGTCTCCTAGGGGATGCTGTCATCTCCCTGTGCCAAGGACTTGCTGCTGGGAGTTGGGCAGCAGGGACTGGGTCATGTGGCCCCCTGGGCTTGGGATCAGTAAACAGCAAAGCAGTTCTCTGGCTTTTCTCAGGGGGTCTCCACATGCCTAGGGCCAAAGTTACAAAGCTAAAAGTGTGACTGTGTTTTGGGGGCAGCAGAAAAGGAGAGAGGGATGTCCATTCCTGCCTCTTCTTGCTTCAGAGGCTCAGCTGATCCTGACAGCAAAGCTACAGTGTGGGTAGGGCAGGGCCAAGGGCCAGTTCTCTGAAACTTCTCTTCTACTTGTGCCAGCCCATGGCTGGGGAAAAACCAAGAATTGGTCTCTAAGATCCACAGACAGCTCAGCCAGAGGATGGGGAAAAATAATCACATAATAGTTCCTATAGATGACCTTTTTTTTTTTTCTTTGACGGGGGACTATAAAAATGAATTAGATGGGCTCCAGAAATATCTTTTGGCTTACTGGGAGACATGTGATTGTTTATTTAGCTAGCAAGGATTTATAGAGCACCTACTATGTTCCAGGCACTGAGGATATGGCAGAGACCAATAAGACTTAAGTCTTGAACATAAGGAATTCACTTCCAGTGACAGAAGATACAATGGGTACAGACATGATAAAATAACTGCAGATAGCAAGAAAGGACAAGGGGGACATAAAGAGAGTGATGTGTACAGAGTAGAAGGAGCATGCCTACGAGAGTCAGGAGGTCAGGGAAGGCCTTTCCAAGGCAACGTGTGAGATGAAACCAGAAGGAGGAAGAGCTGCTCATGCATAGGAAGAGAAGCATTTCTGGCAGAGGAAAAAGTGCAAGCATGTGCAAAAGGAAGTGCAAAGCCAGGAAAGCACAGAGGTGGGCGTGACGAGCCATCTCTTGGGCAGCTCCCAAAGTGGGACAGGAGCTCCACAGCCCACAGGGAAGCAAGCTCACCTTCTTTTTTTTGGTACCAGGGATTAAACTCGGGGGACTCAACCACTGAGCCACATCCCCAGCGCTTCCAGCCCTTTTTAATATTTTATTTAGAGACAGGATCTCACTGGATTTCTTAGGGCCTCGCTAAGTTGCTGAGGCTGGCTTTGAACTCACGATCCTCTTGCCTCAGGCTCCCAAGCCGGTGGGATTACAGGTGTGTGCCACCAAGCCCAGCAAGGAGTTCACCTTGTAAGCTCACCTGGCTGGAGCTGGAAGAGAGTGGAACTCATCCTGTAGCCACTGATGTCAAAGCCCCAAATAATCGGCACCCAGGAGAAGCATGGTCTTTGCTGCCTGGGGAAGATGTGTCTTGGGACCATGGCATTGGCATATGGGGTGCTAGGTATGCTCTTAGGTACGTTTATCCATACTCCAGCACAAGGCATAGAATGAGGGCACATGTTCATCTATCATCTATCAGATGTCAGTCCTAGCAGAGGTAGGATTTGACAGGGGATACAGAAGCTTTCCTGAGGAAACACAAAGGGGAAGAGGGTTAAGAGACTCACCTGCGATCTGCTCCTCAGTTAGCTGGTCAGCCTGGAAAAGCAGGAAGGAAAGTCAGTCACTGGACCAGGCAGCCCCATTCAGCCAGGCCCCTCTGGCACTCCTACTGGGCAAGTGAGGTATATGCAAATCACAGGCAGAACTGGGCCTGAGAAAAAGTCTAGAGATTCATAAGCTGGGAACTAGGGTGGTCTGGAGACCCACGTTGCCTGGTGCAGGGCCCGATTAAGCTCCCATGGGTAGGGAGAAATGCCTGCTCAAGCCTGGAATCAGCCACACTGGCATGGCATGGCACAGGTTCACTTGCTTCTGAGCCCCAGAGGCTGTGTGAAGGGAGTGGCTGCCCTAGAGGCTAATCAAGCAGCTCTAGAAGGCTCTAAACTGAAACAGGCCAGTCCTCGGATAGGGCAGAGGAAAGATGTCTGAGGCTATCTTAGCTAGTTTCTGTGTCACCTATTTGGATGTGCTAGGATCAGGCAGGTAGACTTAAGAAGCAAAAATTTTCTTAACGGGGTCTTTGAGTTACTCTGGTGCCTGAAGCAACCCTGGTCAGGCTGAAGGTGGCTGCTTCACCCCCCTGAGCACAGGGTAGGTGCAGGGCACCACTTGGTTCTGTTTCTCTGGGGCAGAAGGGACAAATGTCCAGTAAGGGACTGCAGCAGGCAGCAGCGACAGCAGCAAAGGACTGAAGTCTTGCTTAAGTGCTGCAGTTTTTAACCCGTTCCAGCCTGGGCCACTCTGGGACCTGGCCAATCACAGCAGGCAGCTCTTGCTGCAAGAGGGGCTTGAGGATGGGGTCAGGAAGACACAGGGCACAGTTCTTCTTGTACTGGTGTGCTGGGAATCTGGGTATAGAGGGCCTGGGGGAGGGAGAGAGATGGAGGCTGAATCTCAGTATCTAGCCATAGGCAGCTAGAAGACAATTTTTTCCTGCTTTTTGTAAATGTTGCCAAGAAGGCCGCACCATCTCTGGACTGCTGCAGGTCCACATGACTGTTCCCCTTTTTTCCCTTACTTTCCCAATTAGGGGAAAGGGCTCCAAGTCTACAACAGGACTCCAGCCTTGAGTTTGAAAGCTCTAAAAAGTGAAGTAAACTATTGTGTGTATTTGCATTATTCCACATAGAGGTTCCAGAGCTTCCATCAGAGGCCAGGAACAAACCCCTGCCTGCATGGACGGTCATCCTGGTCTTTAAAAAAATATACATACACGTAAACATGTACACACACACACACACACACACACACACACACACACACAAAATATGTATTAAATACACGTTGTTTACTCTAAGGTTAGAGGAACTCAAGACCAAGCTCCCAATAGTCAGAATGGGAGGGGAAATCAAAGTGAGGATGACAGAAGGGAGGTGGCTGAGAAATGGGGAAGAAGGAAGGTACAGTAGAAAAAAACACCACACATGCACATTCTGGAAAAGTCCAAAGTCTAAGGGAAGATTAGAAGGCCAAATGGAGATTCTTCTGCATGGCTGTCAGAAAAGACTCAGGGTTGTGGGCTCCTTAATACCAACCCAACAGCCTTAGGCCCACCAGCCCCCTGCTCATCTGCTGCCCTGGCTCTTACAGGCAAAGAAGCCCAGGGCCCTTCCCCTGGGTCCTGACACCTGAGGAAGCTGCTGGTGGTGGGGGTGGGCAGGGAGTGAGGGGGGGAGGAGTGAGAAGATGGGATGGGCTTCTGGTTACCAGGCCAGGCAATACTGGGGGAGGGGGGAGAGGAAGAACAGAGAGAAGCTGCCATTCCATCTGCTTTTCATTCTCTTCCCCTGGCCTAGAATGGAAAAAGTGAGCCCAGTCAGGGACCTTCCCACCCACTGCACAGCCCCACTCTGTGGGAAGCCCAGCTCCCTCCACCTCTGGGCAGCACTGTAAGGAGATGAGACAGGTTGCAGAAAGCCCAAGAGCGGCTCTGAAGGACCGGGTCTGCTATTCCCCACCAAAGAGCTGGAAGAGTCAGATGAGGCACTGTCACCCTGTTGTTCCAGGTTGCTGCAAAATAGGCGTGGCTCTTCATGGAGGTCTGTCACACACTCTTCCTTCAGGTTAGGAGCCCTCTTCCCTGTTTGGTCAAGGAGAGCTCCCAGATACAGACTGTGCTCAACCTTTGCTGTCCAGAAAACTGGTCACCTGAGAAGAGATCACTGACCCGGGGCTTCTTCCCTTTCTGGACCAGAAGACTATAAGCTTTCACAAAAAAAGTGTCTCCAAAATAATACAGCTGGTCTCCTGCTTCCTTATCCCTCATCTCAGGCTGGACATGAAAATAAAGCTTGGGGTGGGGGAGGGCAAAGCAGCTCAGCCTTGTCCCAGCCCCCAGCCACTGCCAGAGAACAGTGTTAGATGAGATCAGAAACCAAGGCCAGGGCCCCTCACCCGGCCAAGGAGGAGCTATAGAGCTCAGGCCAAAGTCCAAGGCCAGTTAACCATGACTTGTCCCACCCTTACCTTGCTGATTACAAATGGAAAGAGAAACTGGTCAGGGCCAAAGCTTGGGCCCTCCTTTGGAGGTGGGGGGCCTGCTGGCACCTGCTAGAGCTGCAGGGTCCCTTGAGCAAGGTTCTGCTGGGGGAAAATGGGGCAGCGGCAAGAGGAGCCATCAGGTCTGTGTCAGCAAGTATGAGATCTGATACACGGCAGTGGCTGCCTGTTCTCCCAGCCTTGCCAGGGAGGATGGCTGCACACGGTTCCCAGGCTGCGACTGGGGGGGGGGTGCGGGCTGTGGGTGTTGTGGGTGGCAGGGAGTAGGGAAGAACTAGTCTGCTGGTTTTCTCCCAAAGCCTTAGCTGTGCAAACCAACAGCAGCACAGTGAGGACCCTGAAAGGAACAAGTGGCCCTCAAGCTGATGAAAGGGTCTGCTGGAGGTCCAGCTCTGCAGCCCCCACCCTGAGGGCACAGGAATAGGCATCCAATTGTCACTGACGCCACGCTGTACTGTACTGCACTGTCATTTGGCACCAGTGAGAAGATGCAGAAGAGTGCGTGGCCAGCACCCTGTTCGGAAAAGGCAGCGCTCTTGGCCTGAAAGGGTCAGTGAGGCGGGTGAGGCTTCTAGGCTTAAACAACTGGTTCATTTGCTGCACCCCCCAAACTTTGATCCCCACCCCCATTTCATGCAGCTTCAGTGCGCAATAGGGGCCTGAACAACTCCACCCACCTGCTCCCACTACCCTGGTGCCTTTCACCCAGTCCCATTCTTCCCCAGAAAGGGGACTGCATAGCCATTCCCTCCAGCCTCCACAGCCCACTCCCCACCTGGACTGGACAATCCTGGTCTGGGCCTTTCCCTGGAGATTGGCAGGGAGCTACCCACACCCACCTCCAAACCTAGGCCCACCTTGGTTGCCATTCATTTTCTCCTTCAACCCCCTCCCCCAGTTCCCCTTCAGCCTCATCATCTCCCACCACCCTAGCCAAAGTCCTCTCCCATCCTTCACCTTGGAAACCCATCTTTTCATGGACCCAAATACAACAGTCCCCCTCCCCCTCCAAATCTCTCTTCCTAGTTCAACAGTCTTAACCCACTAGTTATCTAATAATCTTCTCCAGGTACCCTCCAAAGCAACCACAGGGGCCCCGGTTTCCCCAATACTGGCATCCCCCTTTAACCCCCTCCACCACCGGATCCTTCCCAGTCCCCACAGGCTTCAAAAGCATCTTTTAATCTCCAATGCCACCCACCCCCCAGTTCTTCCTCACCTTAGCTTGCACCTCTCCCTCCTCCTCCTCTGCAATGCTGGTCCTTGGAGACCCCTCCCCCCAGGGGTCTAATGTGCAGAAGTCACCCCACCCCTGATCCCTAGAAGCCCAGTGGCCACCCCTCCCACCAGGTCCAGCTACCCAAGGCCATCCTCTAGGTGCAGCCCAGCAGCCTGGCCACCTCCATTCCCTCTTCCCTGCATCCTCTTAGGACCCAAAGCTTTCATCAGGGCCCCAACAGGCCCCCTCCTTGGCAAGCGTTTCTTATTTCCTCCTCCTGGGGGTCCATACACCCCAATTCTGAGACCAAATGCCCCATCTTGGATCGAAAACTCCTTTCAGGGGTCCAGATGCTCCATCCTGGGTCCAAATGCTCCCTCTGAGGCTCAGATGCCCATTTGGGGATCTCAACACATCTGGCACTAAAGTCGCTATTGAAAGCCCCAAAGCCCCCTTCTGGGATTCAAATGTTCGGCTCTGGGTTCAAATGCCCCCGAGAGGGTGGCCCAGAGGCCCCCTCCGGGGCCCGGATGCCCCCGCTCCGGGTTCACTGGCCCTCTCAGGGGTCTACCCCGCCGCGCCCTCAACCTCGGCGGCCCCTCAGCCTCACTCACCATGGCGAAGCCCGGGTGTCCGGAACGCTGGGATCAAGGTTCCTCCGGCGGCGGCAGCAGCTGCAGCAGCTCGAGCTCCGCCGCGCGTCCGCGCCTCCACACTCACTGCCCGCAGCGCGCGCCGCCGCCGCCGCCGCCCGCCCCAACGGTCTCTCAACGGCCGCCGCGCGCGCCCCGCCTCGCCCGGCCCCGCCCCGCGCTCCCCGCGCGTCGCCGCACTGCGGCTCCCACGGATCCCTCCGCGCTCTGCTCCGCACAGATGAGCCCACGGATCTCTGGTCCCAATCCTGAATAGGGCTTGGATTTGACGCTGAGCGCGCGCGCGCGCCCCCGCCGCAGGACTACTTTCTGTTACTTCAAGCCCCGCCCCCTGTGTCCACTCTACTTTCCTCCCTAGCGGAGGAGCACCGTTTGGCAGAAGGTGACGCGTTCCTCTGTGAGCCTCATCGCTATTGGGCCCGGCCCAGGACGGAAATGAGAGCGCAGCGCCGATTGGTCCGGCCTTCCCTGCAATGCGTCAAAGTGGATCGAGCCACTGCACGGTGGTGATGGGGAAGTCCGAATTGTGTGGGTATTTGGAACTGTGAGGAGTAACCAGGAGAAGGGGAAAACTGTGGCTGTTGGGTATAGGAATACATTGTCTTTGTGGCCTGGGTGGTAAAGGGCTGGCGAAAGATGCAGAAGGACTTTCTATTCCTCAAACGAATGGAAGATGGTTCAATCCAAAATCTTGGGGTCTGGAAGTCCCGCCCTCAACTGGCCCTTGGTGGTGGCGGGGTCGTCAAGGTTCCCCCAGTCACCTAAAGGTTCCCTCCTCCACCCGCTCACTGTACCTAAAGATACGCTCCATCGGTGTGGGGGACCCCTAGCCCCGCTTCTCTCTGGACCCTCTCAGGGTCTGCGAAGTAGGGGCCGTCCCAGGACAGTCTCTGGGAAGACAGCATTAATTCAGTCATTCATCAGGAAGCATGGATTGGGTGCTTGCTGTATACAGGGATCTGTCCTAGGCTGGGCAGGGGAGACCATACTTTCCAACCATTCCCTTGCCATCTCCTAGACAACCTGACTCTTTCACTCCTTATTCCAGGATTGCAACCATCAGAGGGAAAAGAAATGATGTGAAGGTTAGTTGACACTAAAATTTTTGTTTCCTGGAGCTCCCTTAAAGACCCCTTTGTTATAGGAGCTGATATTCTCTTATGTAGCCCCTCCCCACCACGAGGGATAGGAAAGTATCTCAAGCCAGGCCGGTCATTATGCCCCATCCAGAACAAAAAGTAGGCTGAATCAATAAGATTCCTTCGCCTGAATGTTTTGGTCTGGAACTTGCGGGGCAAGAAGCCTTATTTGTTTTGGTGGTGAGTCTGTCAAGGAATAGGTCCTTCCTCCAGAAATTGCCTGTGGCCATTTTCCCACCCGGCCCCTGTCTCAGTAGAGAGGTGAAGAGGTGGAGTGAGTGACATTTGCTTCATTGGCTCCAGTACTCTTGAGGCCAGCTGTACGCCATCAATGCAAGCATTTTTATTACGTGTGCTATTAAAATTTTCTTTTTTTATCCCAGGCTAGTTTGAGTTGAATTTCTGTCGCTTGCAAGTGAAGGATTCCTGATAGATACGAGCTGTTCTAGGCTCTAGCTTGGTCATCAGTGAGGGTCCCAGAACAGAGATAGACGGGTATCCAGCCAACATGCAGAAGGTGGGCAGGCTTGCGCTCTCTCCCTTCTCTGTTTTATTCTCAGTTTCCACCAAGGCGACCTTCACTTCTGTGGGACTTAGGGCTGTGAATTGAAAAGCAAAACAATGCTGCTAATACTTTTGAGCACTCACTCTGGGCCAGGCACCGGTCCAAGCACTCTGCACGCATTATTAGCTCAATTCTGATGAGCTCCCCCTGGGTTTGCTACCTGTATTTCCCACCTGATGAAACTGTTATTGCCATGGGAATGAGACGAGGCCAGAGAGGAGGGAGGGCTTGATCAAGCACAGAGCAGAGAAGTACCTCGCCCATGGCTGCACAGTAGGAGGCAGAGTCAGGATTTGAACCCAAGCATTTGGACAGCACATCCCACACTCAAACCCTGCATTGAACTCCCCATCTTTAGAAGACTTACTTTTGGCTTCCGTGGCAGAGATTATATTATCCTCTTATTATCCACTCTTACCCTCTTCCAGAGTAAGAGAATTTTCGTCGGGCACATTGCTACCCAAAATAAAAACTGCATTTCCCAACCTTCCCTGCAGTAGGGATGGTTACCTGTCAGCATGTTGGCTAAAAGGATGTGAGTGGAAATGATACATGCAACTGCTGGGTTATATGCTTAAAGCGAGTATGTCAGTCAGCTCTTTGGCACTGTAATGGAATCCTTGGGATAATTTATAAAAAGAAAAGGTTTAATTGGGCTCAGAGTTCTGGAGATTCCTGTTCATGATGGGTTGGTTGTGTTACTCTGGGCCTGTCACCCACAGTGTGAGTGCCTGGCAAAGCCAAACTACTCACCTATGGGCAGGGAGGAAAAGGAAGGCGGCGGCCAGGGTTCCACAGTCCTCTTCATAAAGGCAGTCTCAGTGATCTAAAGAGGCACTGCCCATTAAGGTTCCACAAGGTCCCAATTGTATCACCCTGGGAACTAACCACATGGGTTTTGGGGGGCTAGTTAAAATCCAAACTACAGTAGAGAGGGACTCGTCTCCCCGCTGGAGGAGTAGCTTTCTTGGCCATGACTTGAAAGACATGGCACCTAGGTCCTTGATGCTTTCTTGGAGCAGAGCTTACCCTTCCATCTCTAGGATCAAACGTTTATTTGAAAGAGAAACGAATGCCTGTGTTGTTTAAACTGCTGTGATTTGGGGTTTCATTGTTATTTGGGGCCTCTTTTTTAAAAAAATATTTTTTTTAGATGCTGATGGACCTTTATTTTATATATGTGGTGCTGAGGATTGAACCTGGTGTCTCACACATGCTAGGCAAGAGCTCTACCACTGAGCCACAACCCCAGCCCGCGGGCCTTTTTGTTATAGCAGCCAAACATACTTGCCACACATCTCCATGCTCCCCTTTCTGGCAAGTGCCTTTGCTTTGGTGGAAGCTGACTCTTGTGCCTGCCTGTGACTTGTGAAGGGCATGTGGCTCAGGCATAAACCAATCAGCATGACCTACTTTCTTGTCATTGAATGGTTCAGAGTGAGCCATGTGACCTGGTCTTTTCCCCATGAATGGCATAATTTACATTTAATAAAGTGCTGTGGATCTTAAGCATTTGGTTCAATGAGATTTGACAATTGCCCACACTGATAGAATCAGCATCCAAGACAAGCTACAGAACATTTCCCTCACCCCAGAAGTTAGCTCCCTGCTTCTCTTTACAGTCAGCTCCTGCCCGCCTCAAGCAACCACTGTTCTGACTTCCGTCATCACGGATTAGTTTGCTGTGTTCTAGAATTTTATAGAAATGGAATTCTATAGCATGTGTTCTTTTGTGCTTAGCTTCTTTTGCTCAATGTAATCTTTTCAAGCAAAAATGCCTGGGACCTACTTATAGCACAGCATTTTTTTTTCTTTGACTTATCTGAAATTCAAATTCCACTGAGCACCCTGGATTTCTATTTGCTAAATCTGGTAATCCTAGTCTCAAGGCATCTCCTTTAAAGGATTGAGAAATGACATTAGTGACCTTCCAGGTTTCTGTCTTGTCCCATACTAAAGTCAGGCAAGAGCCTCAGTAGCTTCAGATCTTCTGAGATTTAGGAATGGCAATAATGAATTCATATCAAGAGATATGAATTAATGTAATTCTCATATTCCTCCTGTATGGTAGATACTATTATCTCCTCCATTTTAAATAAGAAACTGAGGCACAGACAGGTTGAACTATTCATTCAAGATCACATAGCTAGGATGTGGTAGAAATAAGGTTTGAACCCAGGAAGGTTGGTTTCAGTTTGTATGTTCTTATCCACCCAGCAAGCTCCTAATCCGTGGTAGGTTTTTTTTTTTTTTTTTTTTTTTTTTTTTTTTTTTTTTGGTGTGTGTGTGTGTATGTGTGTAATATAAACATTTAAAGCCAAAAATTTTCCTCCAAGCACTGCTTTAGCTATATCCCACACATTTTGGTATGTTGTGTTTTAATTTTATTGTATTAAAAATATTTTATAATTTCCTTGTGATTTCTTCTTTGATTCCTAGGTTATTTACAAGTATGTTTAATTTCCAAATATTGGGGGGGGTGCTTTCTGTATATCTTGTTGCTGATTTCTCATTTAATTCCATTATGATCAGATAATATACTTTTTAGTCCTTTGAAATTTACTGAGACTTGTATCCTCCCGTATGGTATACAGTGGTTGTTATATTTTATGCATGTTTGGAAAGAATGTGGTGTCTGTGTGAAGTGTCCTATGAATGTCAGTTGGGTTGAATTCGTTGATAATGTTGGTCCAGTTTTCTATATTTTATTTGTTCTACCAATTTCTGAGAAAGCCATGTTAAAATCTTGAACTCTAATTGTGGATTTTTGTGTTTTCCTCTTCAGATCAGACAAATTTTGCCTCGTGTATTTTGAAGTTCCACTGTTTGGTGCATTGTTATGACTTCCTGACAAATTAACCATTATAGAATCATGAAGTGAACTTTAGGTTTGGTAACATTATTTGTCCTAAAGTCCACTAGGTCTGAGCCCTAGCATTGACACTTCAGATTTTTTTTTTTTTTTTTTTTTGTGGTGCTGGGGATCGAACCCAGGGCCTTGTACATGCGAGAGAAACACTCTACCAACTGAGCTACATCCCCAGCCCTACCACTTCAGATTTTTATGTGTTCTGTTTGCAAGGTATATCTTTTTCTACCCTCCTTTTTACTTTCAATGTAACTTTATCTACATTTTTAAAGTGTGTTTCTTGTGGATGGCATGTAGTTGATTTTGATTTTTTAAAATTCAGTTTAAAATTAAATCTAATTTAATTTAAATCTAATTTTTAAAATTGCCATGACTAACTCATTTACATTTAATGTAATTAATCATATGGTTTGGTTGAAGTTGTGTTATCTTTTTTTTTTTTTTTTTAGTATTTTTCAGTTGTACTTGGACACAATATTTTTATTTTATTTATTTATTTTATGTGGTGCTGAGGATCGAACCCAGTGCTAGGCGAGCGA